TCAACTTCAATTCGAGCTCTTTCTCTTTCGCATCGAGTTCTTTCAACTTCTCATCAGAAAACTTCTCCTTGGATTCGATTTCCTTCGTAAATCTCTCCATTTGTTCAACTTCTTCTTTCCTTTTCTCAAACTCTGCCTTGCGTTCCAACTGTAACTCCTTCTCCTTCTTCTCCAAATCACTCAGTCTCGCTTCGATCGATCCAGGGATCGAACAAACCTCCTCCTCCTTCTTCTCCAGTTCCAAAGCTCGGACCTTTATCGATTCCTCTAGCGCTTCTAGTTCCTTGGCTCGCTCTCCGAGGATGTTTTTGGTGGAATCGAAATACGCCTCGATTTCTTTCCATTGAACCGAAAGCAGAAGAATCGAATGAGCTCCTTCTTGCAGAGAATCTAGGGTTCGGCGAAAGTTCTGCTTGCTTAAATCGACAAGTTCAAGGCGACTCGTTGCCTTCTCCATCAAGCTACTCATAATAATAACCCACACAAACCCTAAGTTCGCCACAAAGAAAAATTAAATTCTTAAAAACCCCCAAAAAGGAACCCAACTTGATGAATGAATCTGTTTACAGATTTAGAGGACTCGACAAAAAAGACCATTATTCTTCACCACCTTACCGGGCCGGGTTTATATTATTTTCTCAACATCGCTAAAAAAACGTTAATTAATAAAGTTCACTCTAATAGGTCTTCAAAATGATTTTGTTCTAGAAATTCGTCGGTCTTGAAGCTATAAATCATTCAGATTAGAGAAACTTGTGCAAATTCTGAAGCAGAAAGGATTCCCTCTGCAAATTCTTTTTTACAATAAACCAGAGAGAGAGATGTACCGTGGAACTATTAAACATATCTAATAGACCAAAAGCCAAAAAAAAAACTATTTCTTGTTAGTTACTTCCATACTCCATACCTATAGCTAGCTTTAGCCTTAGCCTTGTAACACAACACCTAGAATCTGTCCCTGCCTGATGGATTCAAGCAAGGTCTAATCGTGGATCTAGGACCTTGAGAATCCACTCTTGGACGTTTATAACCAACCCGTTGTGAAGACTGACCTTGGAACGCGGCTGAACCACTAGCCTGATATGCTTCCACGTCTAAGATCTGTTGATTTCGAGACAAACCAAGCCTGGTTGGATGTCGCTGGTCTAAGCCATGAGTGGCAAGGTATGGGCTGTGAATGACTGTGTGTGAAGCTTGCATACGAACTTGTGGAAACATCTGCAGAGGTTGAATTGGGACAGACGATGAGACAACACATTGATTCTGATTTTGAGTTTCCCGAGGAACCATGAACTTGACGATCATATCCACAGGAAGATCAATTTCCAGCTTGAAGTCATCAATGAGTTCAATTATGTCTCTTAGAATTCCAGCATCTCTGTCTTCCGCCTAGAAGCCAAACACAGATTACAAATAAGGCCATCAATGACAATGAAATATACAGTTTGGCAAGAGATTGACCGGAGTAAGCTTTTAACCTGTGATTCAAATCTTCTCTTTTCCTTGGCAGAGAGTCTAAGACTGATGATTTGTTCCCTCAACAATTGCAGGGTAGAAAACTTGTTGTTCAGGTTGAACGAAAACATAAACCGGATTGCCTGAATATACTGGTGTTCGTTGAGGAGCTGTTTAACAAAATCTACAAATAATTTATTAGTCTTCATGTGTAACAAAAATGTTAAAAGAAAATGTGTTAGAAAAATGCAAAGACAACAATTGTGTTGTACAAGAACAACTTACTTGGAATGGCATAACTGAGACCAAGTGATTGGAATAGTTTTGGAGCCTGTTTGAGATGAGCAACATACGAGGCAAAACGTAAAGTTTCATCTTTGTCAGTTAGATCCACTAATTCAAACGAGACAATGAATTGCAGAAAACTTAAAGCCTCGAGCGGTGACACATGAGAACTAGTTGCCATCATCCTGCTCCATTGCTTTGCCACTTTTGTTGCATCTAACCTTAGATCAGGATCGATAGAGCTTATAACACGTGTCAGCTCCTCCAATAGGGGAATCAAAGTCTTAACTATAGGCTCTGCTAAACCTGACTCCCCTCTCTGATGAGAACCCGTGAGTGCATCCTTGACAGAATTTAGCACAAACATGCCTGGATCATCAATCAACGGAAGTCCATTAGAGACTTCACTGGGTGAAAAAGGAACTAAGACCTCATGGTCCCTGAGAACATCTTCATTAGCCAATTGAGATACTGCTGCCTTTTCTTGGACTTCCAGGGACCGGGAATCACTACTATTGTTGATTGGTGCTTCAGGGGGCTGCTGCTCATTGGTGACTAGAACAAAAAAAGAGACTTCAATAAGTATAACATAACTATGATAGAACTGGACTGTTATTTATCAAAGGTCTAAAGTTTGGTATTGTTTTTCTTCTAGCATGATCATATATCTAGATTACATGGGATCAGACTCAAAGAAGAATTTTTTGTGCAAAACAAGAATCTTTATGGTACTTAAGGGCAATTGATGTTCAGATACATTACTTGAAGAGAAAGGGACAAGATTTTTTATACTAAGAAAACATACCCGGTGCTAGAGCTGATACTCCAAGAGCCTTGCATAGACTCGGAGCGTATTTGCAGAGAAATGCAGCATCAAAAAGATTATGGATTTTGTCAGCATCAAAAGTGTATGCCAAACTGAATGCAGCTAGAAAGTGCAGAAAACTCAACACCTCAACTGGATTCTCTGCCGTAACCAGTGTTGTGGTCTTCCATTCAATGGCAAACTTGATAGCTTCTTCTTGTATTTCAGTCTTCGGTTTTGGTGACATATCCATTAAGCAATCCAGCAAGCATATAACACTCCTTCTAACACCATTTGGATCACGATTTGATATTGCCATCCTTTGATCAGCGGAGTAAAGCCCTTGTACTGTGTCTAACACCAGCTTTGCCGGGTCAGAAGATGTTTTTAGAGCACGTGAAACATCAAGGTGAAGCTGAGGACATTTCTTTAGAAGCCCTTGTAAGAGTAACTGCAAAGTTTTCTCATCACATACATTAGCGTCTCGGACCAAGTTAACATGTTGATCCGGGTTGCTCTGTTGACAAAAGCTGGACAATTTCTTTGCTTTTAGCTCATAATCCTTAACGCATTTCGCCAACTTCTGTTCTGTGGATTTTAGTTGCTGATCTTTTTTAGCAATATTTTCCTCTCGAGTATCAAGCTCTTTCTCTTTCAGTTTGATCTTTTCCGAGCGAGCATCAAATTGTTTCTCCTTCAGTCGAAGTTCTTGCTCACGTTCCATTAATGAAGCTTTTAATTTGACTTGTTGCTCCTCTTTTGACTGAAAGTCTTTCAAGCTGTCTTGAATCTTTTTCTTGACAGAATTAAGATCACATTCTTTTAATTTGAGCTCAGCAGTAAGGGCAGTAATTGAGCTTTGAACTTGATCACGCTGTTTCTTCTTAGATTCCAATTCACCCGAGCAATCTTTCAAGCTGTCTTGAATCTTTTTCTTGACAGAATTAAGATCACATTCTTTTAATTTGAGCTCCGCAGTAAGGGCACCAATTGAGCTTTGAACCTGATCACGCTGTTTCCTCTTAGATGCCAATTCACCTGAGCATTCCCTGATTGCGTTGTTGATCGAACACACCTGTTCTTGTTTCACCTGGAGTTGTCTGAGAAGTTCTTCATTGGATTTATCCAAATGTTGCATTTTCTTCTCTCTTTCCTCGATTTGTTTATTTCTCTCAATGATGACAGATTGTAACGACTTTAACATGTTCTCTTTAGTTTCCAGGTTTTGGAGGCACTCTTTTAACGAATTTTTCACAGAGCGAAGTTCCTTTTTCTCTGAATCAAGCTCTTCAATGTATCTTTCTAGATCTCTTTCAGTCGAAAGCAGTTTTTTCTCTTTTGAATGTTGTTTGTCAGAGAGCTGCTGGATGAAAACTTTAGCTCTTTCCAATGTCTTCTCTTCAGAGACAATCTCCAAGGATAACTTACGAATAGCCTCAGTCATCTCATTCTGTCTCTTCTCTTTAGAAGCAAGTTCTTCACTGTGTTCCTCGATCAACAACTTGATTGATTCGCAATGTGCACTTCGTTCTTCAATCGCCCTTTCAATGTCCTCCAACTCCTTTGCTTTTGATTCCATCTGTTGAGAAGTCTCCGTCATGTCGTTATTTAGTGATTTGACCATCTGTTCCCTCAAGTCATGTTCCAGAATGGAACTTATTTTCGCCTCTCTCAGTCCTTCCAACTCTTTCTCTTTAGAAACAAGTTCAGAGGACTGTGTCTCAAGCAGCTTTTGCTGAGAATCTAGTTGCTTTTCCACCAATTCAAGCTGCTTGCCACGTTCAGCGATTTTATCAACTATAGCAGTAACAACCTTCATCCTCCTCTCTATTTCCTCTTCCAGAACTCTCCTCTGATCTTGAGTCCTTCGCAAATGTTCCTCCTCCGCAGTGACCTCAACACGATGCCTCTTGAAATCAACATTCACATGTTCCAATTGTTTCCCTTTCAATTCAAGCTCACTCTGAGTCTTTCTTAGTTCAGTGGACCGTGTCTCAATCAACTTTTCACATTCTCCAGTTTTCTCCAGAACCGACGTGAGATCATTCGTCCTTCTCTCAATTTCCTCTTCTAATTCTCTCCTCCGAGTTTGACTCCTACCCAAGTGCTCCATCTCTGCACTGGCCTCAACACGATATCTCTCAAGATCAGTCTCCATCTTCCCCAATTTTTCCCCGTTCAAATCAACATCAACCTGAGTCTTCCTCAACAACTCCACAGTCTCATAAAGTTGACTTGTCTTTGACCTATGCTCCACCGTACACTCTTCCACCCATTTCCTAAGCTGCGCAAGTCTAATTTCCTCTGCCTTGGACTGGCCTTGACAAACCTCAACCTGATTCTTAAGAAAACCCAATTGTTTCTCTTTTTCTTCAATCTCCATCATAAACCCATCAGCTTTCATCTCTAAATCACCAACCTTATCTTCCGCTGCTTCAACAAGTTTAACCCTTTCTTCAAGTTCGAAGCTTTTCTCCTCCAAATCCATCTCTTTCGATTTTAAAACCCTAAGCTTCTTCTCTACATTCTCTTCCGCGAATTTGAGATACTCCTCTAAATCAGCCCACTGAACACTGAAGGCAAACAAGTCAGTGGCCTGAGACTTTACCTTCCCCATTGCTTGACGGAGATTCTCTCTCTTCACCTCGCAGAGCCGTAAATCGTTCTCAACTTTGACTTCCTCCATTGTCTGCAATTTCTTCGACTCCACGGAAAGAACCCAAAAAAGGCAAGAAAAACAAAAACCCGCAGGAAAAAGCACACAAGCACCCTTCGAAGAAGATCTCTCTCTCTCTCCCTAGCGCCGATTTCCGAGCCGGAG